GTGAAGCGTAAAGTAGAATGGGACGTATGGCTTGAAGATAAATAATTCGTTTTGTGGCAAGGCTGAGTGATGAATTTTTTCCTAGAAAAGCATAAATTGCCATGCAGGCTTGAAAGGCTTTATTTCTTGTTTTTACGATGTGTTGCCGGAAAGTTAAGCGGCTGTCGATGTGAACTCCTAAATATTTGATGCATTTTTCTTTGGGAATATTGTTGTTGTCCATAGTAACGTCGCCGATGTCTTGGCGTAGGCAATTTTTTCTAAAATAAATGAATGCAGATTTAGAGGTGTTGACTTTTATTTTCCAGGCGCGGAATCATTGCGAGAGAATATTTATGTGACTTTGGAGATTTTTTCTGGCGGTTTGAGGTTTCATAGATTTGCAGAGAAGACCTGTGTCATCAGCGTAGCAAGCAGTTAAAATATTGTTTGAGATGGGCATATCATTAACATAGATATTAAAAAGGGTGGGAGAAATAATTAATCCTTGAATGACGCCTGCTTTGGGTGTTTTGCTGGAAGAAAGATGATTTTTAATTCTCACTTGAAAAGAACGTTGATGTAGAAAATTGGAGATAAGTAGAATCAGGCCTGGAAGGAAACTGTAGTTAATTAATTTAATGAGTAGACCATCGAACCATACTCGGTCAAATGCCTTCTTGATGTCTAAGAAGACTCCTGCGACAATCTCTTTTTTATTAAAACTCTCTCCTATGAATTCTATTATTCTTGTGATTTGATTGGTAGTTGGATAGCCGGATCGAAAGCCAAATTGATTATTGCTCATGATATTGTTATTATTGAAGTGTGCTTTGATTCTTGTGATGATGATACGTTCAAATAATTTTCCTAGTGCTGGCAAAAGAGATATAGGCCTGTAATTAACGGTCGAGGTAGGGTCTTTGTCTGGTCTCTTTAACACGAAAATAATTGCGTGTTTCCATGCTTTTGGGAAATAATTCAGTCTGAGGCTGGCATTAAAAATATTGGTGATAAGAACAATGACTTTAGAAGGGAGATTTTTTAAAGCTGAATTGGAGATGTTATCATAGCCTGCTGCTTTTTTAATGTTGAGATTCTTGATGATATTCTGTACTTCTTTAGGGCTTGTAGGTGGATTAGAACTGTTGATGTTATAAATAATATAGTTTTGAACATGATTGGAGACATAAATATCATTACTGCTGGGGTAGGAATTGTTGGAGTCCTGTGCTTCATACTTGTTTGCGAAGAGCTCCGCGATATCTACGGTATTGGTGAGAGTGATGTTATTTTCTTTTATGGGACCAATATTATTGCTTTTATTCTTTAATGCTTTGGCGATTTTCTATAAAGAGTGATCAGTATGCGAGATATTTGAAACAAAAGACCTCCATGAGTCGTCAGAGAAGGTTTTAATGAGTTTTTTTAGTTCCTTGTGACTTCTATTGAAGTTTCTTTTATCCTGAGGGTTTGAGAACGTTGATATATTTTTCTCTGTTTTTCTCATTAATTTTTTGCCGAATATTGTTGGGGAGAGCACCAGAGTCTTCTTTTTGAGGAACTTTAGAGTTGTTAATGGCGGTTTGTATATCCTTAGTGAGAGAGTCGACTGCAATATCTATATTATTTCTAGTAGAGAGAGTAGGAGAAGCAGTCTGGATAATGTTGCGAATTTTGTGGGTGAAATTATTCCATGAAATTTTGACTTTAAAAGGAGATAGTCCGTGCTTGAGTCCATATAAAGTGAACCGGATGGGAAGATGATCAGAAAAAAGTTGATTATCAACATAAACATAAGACTGTTGCTGCATTTTACTTGTAGTAATGATGTCCAGTACATCAGGTTGTTCTTGAAGGTTGATGGGGGTATAGGTGGGATTTTTAGTTGCAGAGATAAAAATGTTGTGGCTGAGCATATAGTTATTTAAGATGCTTCCATTACTGTTAATATTTTTGCTGTTCCAGTTGATATGCTTACAATTAAGGTCGCCTGCTATAATTGTGGGGTAACCAAGATTAAGAATATTGTCAAGATCACTTGTGAGAAGAATATTGTTAGGAGGTTTGTAAATAGAAATTAGCAGGTAGTCGGTGTTATTGCTTCTGATCAAACATCCACAGGCTTCAAAACTTTGTAATATAAGCAGAGTAAAGGGAAGGCAATTTAGGAATTTTTTTCGTTGCAATAAGCGTACCACCTCCTCTGTTTTGAAGTCGGTCGTAATTTGATGTCGTAATTTGAAGATGTCATAATTTGAAAGCTTTACAGAATTAGTAGCTCTTAAATGCGTTTCATTTATCATAAGAATATCAATGTTGTTGTGTTGTGCGTAATCTTTAATTTCGGTAAGTTGTCGTTTAATTCCATTATTGTTAAAGGCCATGAATTTAGCATGATTAATATGATTTCCACCTGGTTTGAATCTGCTATGGATGTGACTTGTGTCTTCAAAAACCTTTAATGCCTCTAAGGCGATCCTGAGTTTAGTAGTAGTATCCGTGTTTTGCCTGTATTTTTCATATATTTGGTGAAGATTTGTCATAAATATAGTGAATTCTTCCATGGAGTTTTCGGGTTTATTTTTCCTGTTATAGCTGGTGTTATTTGTTTCTGCTGGCTTGGGAATATGTGAATTAGGAATTTTAACGTTAGCAGTAATATTTGCATAAGAATGATTTGGGATTGAAGTGAAGCTTGCTTGTGATTGGCTCTCAGTGGCCGGAGTGAGCTGAGTTTGCATAGCACTAGGAGTGATTGATTTAATTTCCTTCTTTTTAAGATCTGGTTTGTTTATTGGATTTTCCGGGTATGATTTGTCGACTGATGCGTGTGTGCCTCCACAGAGGACACATTTTGGAAGTAAATTTTTGCCTTCATCTGGACAGTCGTATGATTGATGGTTACCTGAACATCTCAGGCATCTCGGTGTATTATGACAAGCACGCTGTGCGTGCCCAAAGCGTTGGCATTGGAAGCTCTGGACGGGCCCAGATCTTCCTTTATAAGCAACAATGCGAACTCGCATATCCATGAGATATTTAATTTCATACATTCTTTTTCCTTCAGGGGAATTTGGTGTCTCTATAAAATACATGGGGAGGGCGGCTGGTATCCCATCTCTCATGCGGACCATTTGATTTATTTTAGAAACTGGTACTTTGCATTCTAATAAGGCGGCTTTAATTTCGTCGGCACAGTAATCAGTAGGTAGGCCTTTTAAAACACCTTTAATAGTTTTTTCTGAGTTTAGGAGGAAAGTATGATAAGGAATTTTAAGTTTGTTTAAGTAATATTGAAACTTTTTATAATCTTCTGCTTCTGAGACTTAGATAACAAAGTTTTCTCCCTCTATTTTGGCTTCTAGTTTTCCTATTTTGAGTTCTTCTTTGAGTATTTTCCTGTGTTCTTTCCAGTTTATTTTTTAAGTGATAACAAAAGGTGGGATTTTATTTGCAAATTTATTGGGTTTAATGAAGGGTGCATTGTTTGAATTATCCGTATTTTCAGTATCATCCATGTTGTCAGTTTGATTATCAAGATTTTGGTCTATTGTGAGGGTGTCGAATTGATTTGATAATTGAGTGGAAGGTAAAGAATCATTTGAATGGTTACGTGCTCTTTTCCTGGGAGCTATCCGTTCTGTGTTTTCAGCAGTTTTCTCTGAGGTAATGTCCTGTATAGAATTATTATCGGTAGCCTGAGCAAAAGTACTAGCCTGTTGAGAAATTATTTGCTGAAATTTAAAAACGAGTGCGTTTTCTTTAAGTTCGTTTCTTTATATTTAAGATTTTTCGGATCGGAGTCCGATAGAGTATCCTGATTTTAGTAGAAAAAGGCTATTTCGGTTTTCAGTTTAGAAATGGCGTCAATAAGAGTTCCGAGTTCATATAAGTCATAATCGCTGGGCGTATCCATGCCGTCAACGTAGTTCAAAGATAAGCAAGATCTTGGTAAACAGTCAACTGCCTTAACTGGATGTCGATGCATACAAGAGGATCAGAGACATACTTACGAAAAATCAAGATGGTCTGGGAGAGAGAAAAAATTCGATCCTGTCTCCTAGAGCTCAGTCAATGAGTCTCAACGTCACGGTCAAACACGTCAACTATGTTAATCGCATGATATTATTATATCCCATCATCCTCTTGTTTTTTAGTTGTTATTAAGCTTCTATATGTGCTTGTATTAACACTGATGTATCTATCGCTTATATTATTTTAGTTGCAGTGGAATAAATATGTTATTAGTGTTTAAATCTGCATCGTATTATTTATGGATAAATCCCTCATATCATCGTTAACAATAGTTTCGGAGACTCAACTGCTGCTACTTGAGTTCACAAAAGGTATGCTGATTTTGCTATCTTTATTCTTCACCTTTACCTTTCAACACATGAATCATTACTTATACCAGCTTTAATTGGTACGAGAAACAGATAGTAAATGTTCTGGTAAAATATATCGTAGAATTGAAAAGTAACGAAGCATTTTTTTAACTTCTGCTATATTTAAATAACGAAGCTTATTTATTTCATTGGTTCATAATGAATGAAATTGAAAGAAAATATTATAATTAATCATTTTAGAATTTTATGAACGTGTAAATCTCACGTTTACTAAGCATCATTTATACCTTAAAATAGCTTCAGTGGATTTATTATTGTATTTGCAGTTTTAAAGCCACAAGAACTTCAGAACACTTTCTAAGAACTGACCAAAGTATTCATCTCTTTAGAAGCCATTCTGAACACATTATACATTTTTTTGTTTTCTTTTGTTCTAACCTTTCACAAAAATTTTTGCATATGCAACATTCTGAAAATTACTGGGCATTGTACATTAAATATAATTTTTCAGTTTCGTTTTTAAGTAGTTATTTCTTTAAATGGGTTTTGTGCGCAATTTTTTGAAAAAGTAACTAACAGCTATTTGTAATTGATCTTATTAATAGAAAACTAAGATAGAGACTCAAACACAACTCTTGTAGAGATGAAAAATTTATTTTATTTTAAAAAGAATTCTTTCAAATTAAACGATTGTAGGAGCTGTACAATTGCGACCAATATAATATCCGGCCTTTCATAAGAATATCTACATATATACAAAGAATAGGATATTGCATGTAATTCAGACAGATGTATCAGTTTATGTCTTATCAAGGCTTATATTATTATGCATATTTCCTCGAACTTTCATACAAAGTTTTCACATGTAGGATTTTCTCTTATACAAAACTTTAAACAACAAATACTACCTTGAAAATTTTACTTAAATTCTTCAAACTGAAATAAGTAAGTAAATATAATTTAATTTTAAAATCTCGGATACATGTACACCCACATAGTATATATATTTATAAAAGGCACCAACAATTAAATTGGTAAGTACGCAACATAATAATAAATACACAGGTGTTTACTAGGAAAAGATTTTCACGTTATGGGTATTATCTAAAATACTACAAGAAATTGTGAATATGGGTTTCAAAATATTTAACCATTCGAATACAAATAAACGTAAAAAGAGATTACCACTAAATAAATAAAGGGAAACTATAAGAATTTAACTATTATGATCATTTTGCCAAATAAATAAACTGCCATCAAAAAAAATAGTGGTTGTAACTATTAAATTTTAGATTTAAAAATAGAAAGGATTTGCACAGTAAAGAAATGAAGATGCTTCATGTTTCCTTTATTTAATAACATTTATGCAAATAATATTAATTCTTCAATAACACTTTTAGTGTTTTTCAAAATTATCGAAAATATCATTGTCACCATAAAAGTTGCTTGTGAGATTTTAAATCATACTGATCCTAACTTAATAGTGTTAAAATGTTTTTAATTCTCAGATTATGAAGAAAAACAAGTTAAAATCTTATCTAAAGGGCTGTGTTTTTTACCCAATTAATTTTTAGCCAACCAGCGGACGAGCGGTTAAGTCGCTGAACACTGGTAGTTCGGTCCGAGGTTCGAATATCGCAAACGGGCTGGCTGCATGGGTGTTTTCGTGGTTTTCCCCATGTGTGCTTTGCCATAATTAAATACACCACCAATTAATTTTTAAAGTAGAATTCAGAAGCGAAGTTTGCAAACAGTATTCTTTTTTAAACTTTTGTTTTAATTTCCTGAGCTAAATTTTACTAACACGTTCCTACAGTATGTCCGGAAAGTCCCTAGATTCTTATATCATTTCTACAATTTGCCGTTTTAAATTAATTAAATTACTTTATGGGTCAACGCGGCACATAACTTAAATGCTCAACTATGTTTTCTTGATAATATTTATTCATAGCGAATTCATAGTTTTATTTGCGAAATTCTTTATATAGTAGATTGGAAAATGAGTTTTACATTCAAGAATGTCTACCATGGCTTCATGTAATTCTGACTTTCCCCTCCGAATATCTCGTTATATGCTATTTTTAAGAGGTAGGTTAACGAGCCTCGCTGCGTAACCAACGTTAAGTCGGATAATAAAGCTTTGAAATATGAAGTTCAACACTTGAGATGCTGGAAGTTAGGTTTATGTGATTACGGCAAAGTCTTGAGGGCTATCTGCTTAAAGGAAGGGATTCTTCGTAGAGGACTTTTTAAGGGAAATTGGCTCGTATACACGTTACACATGGGAAAAAGCACGAAAACTCCCATGGAGCCAGGCAGTTCGAGGGATTTGAACCTCTGTCCGAAGTACCAGTGTTCAGGGACTTTACCGCTCGGCCTCTGGTGGGCTTGAGATGCTGGAAAGAATGGCATAAATTATATGGAGCAAAATAAACTTATGTTTCCGAGGTTGTGAAGACGCATAAATTTACGTTTCCAGTATGAGGATTTACATACAGATTTCTGGATACCTAGCTAACTGTGTTCGTTACATTACATTATAAGAATATATGGTACGAGGTGTAGGGACTAAGGACGCATTGAACTATGATCGAAACTAACTTGTTTAAAAATATCTTATTGAGTTCTTTCTTAAACTTAACTTTTCAGAAATGCCACTCTTTTGAATGTGAAAGTAATTCGTTTCCTTATTAATGTGAAGTTAATATTTCTCTTTTATCTTTCAGTAATTGAAAAATAATTCCTATTAAAGTATTTGTTTTCAAGAGAAACAAGATTTTAACTATTAAATAATTAAAAACTATCACATTTACATAATTCTAATAAAAAATATTTTGATTATCAAGCACTGTATTCCTTCTTTTACTGCTCCTTAATACTTTACTAGCAGTACGATATCATTCTCTAGAGAAAAGAAATCCAGATGTCAGATGTTTTAAAAGCCAAACAGCATGTAAATAGTGACTTAAAAAAGATGTTAACATGCATAATAAACCTTGCAGAATATACGAAAATTAAGAAAACTGCTTAGTAATTTATAGTTATTCAACGCCATGTTTCGAAAAAAATCAAAGTCTTTTTTTTTAATCTATAAAACTCTTTCGGCAAACAGAGAAAATTTGTTTAGTTCCGACAGATTAATTGTATATATAAATTTGCACTAAAGAGGAAAAAAATTGTGATAAAGACATATTTAACCTTCCCTAAACGAAATTAAGCAAGGGCATAATTTGATAACACACTTATGAAACCTCCTATATTGCATATTAAACACTTTTTTAACAATCTCATAATTTTATAGCTCATATTCTTTTATTTAAATTAAATAAAACTGAAAACTATAGTTTCGACCGTATTAGTTCCTTCACATCCTAAAATGAGTAAATATCAGTTTATTTACGTTTTGACTTTGTTAGGTAAGAAACAAACAATAACCTTTTTTTAAACAATTTCTGAAAAAGGCTCTGTAAAGTTTAATATATAATAATAAATGACAGAAAATTAATTTCATTCTCAAAGTACTGATATTCATTTTCCTTTCACTCCTGTGCATTATAAACAACTTTGTGAAATTAAATTCAGTTTATATTATTCTATATATATATATATTCAAATAGGTGTTATATACTGCTTAGCTTAATAAGAAACATTTAAAATCACGGTAAGGAAATGTCCCATTTTATACCTGCTTATAAAGTAATCAAAATTTTTACAGATTTTGTTTTATGTTATTATTATTGTTCTACGAAATAAATACAGTTACTATAAATTTAAACTGAAAGGAGTTTTGGGTTTAATATGAAATATTTTAGAAATATTATAACTTAAGAGATATATTTCTAATTAAACTAACTAGAAGGAAATACATACATATTATTTCTTATCTGTGATGATACTAACATGACATAAATTTGCAGTTTATTTTTTTAAAGAATTAACGAATTTCACATTTGAAAGGAGCGGCTATGATGAACAAGAATAGAGTTAGTTTAGCATAAAAATAAATCTGTAAGAGCTTATTGAAAGTCTTTTCAACACCAAGAAAACGTGCTGCTGTAATCTTTTAAAATGCTGACTTCTTCCTGAAGTGTATATTAAAAGCAGACTGAATCGTGTGTGACGCAAAGAAAGTCTGATATACCAACAAATCAGCGATGTCGAGTAATTAAATAACAGAAATTAATAATAGTAGATGACATGGAATGTCATTAGTTGCTACATTTAAAACAATAAAACTTTCAGGGAAGATCACCGAAGAGTTAAGAACACAAGATTTCTTTAATTGCTGTAGCTAACAAAACCTCCAAATATTTTAACTTGAAAGAGACATTTTTATCATTTGTATAGGAAAAATGTCCTTATGACGTAGCTGAGAAAAATATTTAAAAGTTACAGATATGGTAATGTTATGATTAGCCTTGATAGCTGCCTTCAGTACCATTATACTGCCACACTGAATTTTCGAAATTCATTTACGATTGCAGATTTCCCTTGAAGAGTTTTACAAGTTCTGAATTACAACATTGTTTTTAAACAAGTAACGATTTAAAACAAAGTAAAATGCTTTTTAAACATTTATTTGATGAATTCACCGCATAAATTCATTATCATGTATGTCCCAAAGGATGGAAATAAGGATGTGATGGCTGAAGAACTTGATATGGCAGCGCAGCAGGTAGGTAAGGTAGCTGACCTCCATAAAGTATACTAGCTGTACTAGGGTAACCTGATGTCGAACCATAAGTGCTGGTCAGTGTAGAGCTTTGTGATGGCGGTATAGTAGGACTATTAGCGTCCATGCCAGGATTTTGCTTTTTCCACTTAGTTCTCCTGTTTTGAAACCAAATCTTAACTTGAGTTTCAGTGAGCCTTAACGATAATGCCAAGTTCAGGCGTTCACATACAGAGAGGTATCGCGTCGTCTTAAACTTATTCTCTAAAGCTACCAGTTGCTCATATGTGAAAGCAGTTCGAGCACGGCGTGGTTTTCCAGCTTTGCTGCTGTCAGCTCCTGATTTTTTTTTCTTGTTATTGCCCATAGAAATTTTGTTTCCTATTTTTTCGTCTCCACTGGCAGTGATATCCGACATATTGCTTCCCGTGTTTCGGTGTTCTTCTCTCGAACATGCTGAGTTACTTTCTATTAGGTCTTCTGTTGTAGAATCAGCTCCATTTATATTCACTGAAACAAAAAATCAAGATCAGAAACAGAACATTTTATTTAAACATAGCTACTAAATTTATTTGCTTGAATGAAATATTCATTTGTTTGGCGTTTTCGACTAACAGGTAAACAAAGAAATAGAATACAATTGATTGAATTCTAGAAGTAAATATGCTGCATAAAAAAAGGACCAGTTTTAATCTGTAATTTCCTATTTTGTTTATAAATAGTAAACATATTATAACTAAAACTAACATAGTAAACATAATCGTTTCATAACATTTCCAAGCCGTTATGAATTTTAAATGCATTAAACGATTTTTAAGTGAACTGAAAGCTGTGATGGAAATTTTAATATTTGTGACATAATAGCCAGTAATTCACCTTTATATTTTGGATAATTACTTGCTTCACTAGTTGGATTAGGCTTAATACATTGGATGGCAAAAGTATCACACAAATGTTTTCAGCATGAAGCCTTCAAATTGTTAGTCCATTATGTACATTTTTACCTCATAGGCCATAATTTCGGATTTAAGTCCATATCTGTTTGTGTGTGTGCGAGGTTTGGTTTATTAGATTATGACAAAGCACTCGAGGGTCATTTGCCTAAGGAAAGAGTTGCCTTTGTTGAAGATTTTTAAGGTAAACGTACCCATGGGAAAAAACACGAAAACGTCCATGCATCCAGCCCGTTCGCGAGATTTCGAACGAGGACGGAACGAACTACCAGTGTTTCGCGACTTTACCGCTCGGCCGCTGTTGGGTCGTTTGTGTGTGTGAGAAAGAGAAAGAATATTCAACTCCTTTTCTTGGCCGTTTTTCGGTTTTGATTAATGAAAGTTGATTGGTTTCTTGAATGTCCAAACAGAAGCATAACTGAGTTCATATAGAACCTTGTTTTAGTAACTTGTGTTATGATAAGAATACAATGAAATAATTTCTGTAAAATTGAGCTTTATTTTGACATTTTGGAGACGACGGCAGCAGGGAGAAGTGAAGAATTTCCTGAAAAAGTATTCGTAAACTATGTTTCAAAAGTCAGTCATGAAAAACAAAAATTTTGAATATACGATTTATATATTTGTGAACTTGCCATATGGATTTTCTGTATTGTCAAGAAATACGCGCTTGAAATTTTATTTACCGATAAGTTTAGTTAAATAGCTGAATGCTTCATAAAAATTTAAAATATTGTTCACATGCTCTACTGTAGTTCATATCCTTCTTGATTGCACACATATCTGTCCCTTTTTAAGAGACAGATTGGAAAAACTGAGAGTCTTGAAATTTTCAAAAGTTCACTCTGTGCTTGGCTGGAGTCGAACACTAGTAACTAACAAAATGTGTTATTCTATACATTACAGTAGAACACGGAAGGACTACCTTAAGCCTTTGCAACATAAATTAGAAACTAATATCTTACATCCCAGTTTAATAAAACAGGCATATATTGTTGAATAGCAGTAAATACGAGTGAGCAACAAGGGGACAGTACATCTTTAAAATGATCAAAAAATCGATTTTTTGAATTTTATTGTATTTGGTAGAGCATTTTGTTCTGAATAATTTATACCATACTTTTACTTCTCCGATAATTATTTGTCGAGTTATAAAGGAAAATATGAACCTCACTTGACGGTTTTTGATTGAAATGCCCTGAGTCAGCCGCCATGACAGTTTGTTTACATTTTGAAGTCGCACTGCACTCATCCTAACTTTGGCGTTGCATGCAAAGCCTGATTTTTTTTAATCTTAAGCCTTATTTTTTTAAAAATTTTAATTGATTGCCGATTTTTTTAAATTTTAATTGATTTAATTGATTTTAATTTTAATTGATATTTGAAACTCTAAATCATAGATTATCATCTGTGTTCATGATTGAATATGTGGGTTGTAAAAAACTGAATTCTTTCAGAAATTGTCCTATGATGGGAGCAAAATCAAATGTGCCTGAAGTAAACAGGAGGTTTATTTATGCTATGAGATGTATTGGCCAAGGTCTGTCTGGAATGAAGAATTTCTGTGGTGCAATGGATTTGCCCCTAACCTGTCCAGAAATGTGCATACCATAAATCATTGAAAAATATTGCCCGTTGTGTGAAAGACGTTGCTGAGTTATCAATGTTAAAAGCTGCAAAGCAAGAAATTAAAATGACAGGACAGTCACAGCTTACCATCAGTGGTGACGGATCGTGGAAAACTCAAGGCCACTCGTTGAAAATTGGAATAACTAGTGTAATTGGCATTGAAACTGGAAAAGTACTAGATCTTGAAGTATTGTCTTCGTACTGTAAAGTGTGTGAATGGAGTAAAAAAATAGAAATGCTAAAGAATTTGAGAATTGGAAAAGGAGCCATGATATTGACTGGGCGAAAAATCATTTTGGATCAGCTGGGAAAATGGAAGTTGTTGGTATGTTACGAATATTTACTCGTTCTGAAGAAAAGTTTAGTGCTCAGTACATAAACTATAATGGGGATGGCGATACTAAAACATTTCTTAAACTTAAAAAGAACAATGTTTATGGGCCTAATATTGAATTAAATAAAGTAGAATGTGTAGGTCATGTATAAAAAAAGAATGGGAAGTAGATTACGAGAATTGAAGCACTTTATGAGAGGAAAAAAGCTGGAGGATAGTAAATCATTGGGTGGAAAAGGGCGTTTAACCGATAAATTTATTGATCAAGTAACTATGTATTATGGACAAGCTATACGAAATAACAAAGACTGAGTTATGGATATGCGGAAAGCTATCTGGCCGATTTATTACCATAACGCGTTCAACTGATGATGAGCCACTCCATGATTTTTGCCCACAAGGAAGTGTGTCTTGGTGCAAGTACCAAAAATGCCAAAGCAACTTGAAAATTGAAAGATTTTTAAACATAAAAATTTAATGGCAGCCCCAGTAATGGAACAGCATAAAAAAATGTTTAAAGACTTGTCAGAACTCACTTTACATAAACGTTGCCTTGGTGGTCGAACACAGAATACCAATGAATCCCTCAATTCTGTTATATGGAAATTCTGTCCAAAGACAAGTAGTTCAAGCAAAGTAATTGCTGATATAGCTGCAAATGAAACAGTTGTAGGATTTAAGAGGGCACAGGACCTTTGGGCTCGTCAAAACGACCATAAAAATACTCAAACTCGAAAACACAAAAACTCATATTATATAATTAAAACGTTATACATTTTTTACTTTATACCTTAAATAGATTTGGAAATGAAATAAATAAATGAAATGAACATTGTAAATTAAAAATTTAAAAATGTACACAAGAGACATGTAAATAAAAATTGTCAAATGTTGCGAGCATCATAAATTTGAAAATATTGCATATAGAAAACAATTTTTGATAAAAATGTATTCGAAATACATTAACCTCTAATGTAAAATCAAAATATGTAAAAAAATCAAATCTTAAATTTGAAAAATTATGAAAACATTTTTAAATTTTAAAAATATGTAATTTTTTATCACTTTTTGAAGGTATGTATATATGTATATATATTGACATATGTAAATTTTTTTGGTTTTAGCATGCATAGTAACAACAGTAGCATAAACACTTAATTTTTATAGGCGTAGCATATATGATTTGATAATAAGACTGCGCGCAAACTTGAAAATTATCAATTTGAGAAAATCGAATTTAAAGATACAATATCACTTTTCTCTAATGTATATTTTTCAAAACACATTTAAAATGCACCAGAAGCATAAACTACTCCTTCATTTTGCTTACGAAGCTCATCAGCTTCCTTTTTTTTCCCTTCTGGTAATTCGAGCCTCTAAAGTATTGCCCTGGGCTCGTTTCTGTGCGAATTTAATACGAATTCTATTTGTTTCTGCCGCAAATGCTACACAGTTAGCTCCAGGTATACATTCTAGTTCTTTCATGACGAACAGCGTTGCCTGTTTTCCATCATTAAAGTTGGCTACTGCTAAATTTGCAGAAATTTCTACAATTTTCCTACTATTGTTTGTTGTTTTCGGACAAAACGTCCAGATCAATGAATTTAGTGACTCGTTCACATTTTGCGTTCGACCACCAATGCATCTCTTTAGCAAGTCTGGGTGGGACAAATCTTTAAATACGGGTTTTATAGCATCCATAACTGCTATAGGAACTGAATTTTTGTGTTTAAAGTTTTCATTTGTGCCATTTACAACTGCTCTTTTGTATGCGCACCAAGAATCAACACCGTCGGGGCAAAAGTCATGAGTTATTTCATTATCATTTGAACGTTTATGGTACCAAATAGCCCATATCGCTTTTTGCATATCATGGTAATTGTCAGAATACTTCCTAATGGCATTACCATAATATGATGTAATTTGATCTATCAGCACATCCGTAAGTCGACCTTTACCGCTAAGAGGTTTCTTGTCATACAGTTTCTTGCCACGGAATTCTTGTTTTAATTTAATACTGCACGCATCTTTTACTATTTGTGTATTATTAAATAAATTTACAGTGTATTTTTAATCAGATGTTCTTTCATAAGAATTTTTATAGCATGATACGGTTCTCATTGGGGTAGATTGCATAGTTATGATCTCACTTTGTTTTCAGAGAATTTTTTAATGTAATTTTGGATATGCTACAAGCTTTCTCGTATAATGTTCATGCTTTAAAACATCTTTAAAATCAAACTTTTTTCTCATATATTTCCCGAAATGTTGACTTGTATGTTTATAATTAAAAAGTATCTTAAGATATTGGATTGAATGTTGAAACATCCTTATGAGAAAGAAAAAAAATTGGCTTTTGCTTCAATAGGATTCCATATAAAATCATGTATGTAAATCAAAATTTTATTTAAATTAATATGTTTATGAATTTTGTTATGAAATATCACATATATCTTTTTAATATTTAAGCAGTATAAATCAGTCTAATTAATTTAAGTAATACAAATTAATGTAATAGTATGTATTGTACAAAGAGTTTAAATATTTTTAAAAGAAAAAAAAAAGAAGAATGTGTAAATTAATTGAATAATAAG